TGAATTTTCTCTCTTAACTCTTACCTCTCTCTTACTGAGAGAAAGGCTAGTCAGGTTTTCTGTTTCTTCTTGTATCCGTTGTCAAAGTATGCCCTTTTCATACTTTGTTACTGTAGATTTATAGAGTCTTGAAGTCAAACTTCATTTTAAAAATTGTTTTGGTTAGTATGAATTTGTTAAATTCCTATATACATTTTATTTATTTATTTATTTATTTATTTTTGAGACAGAGTCTCACTTTGTCACCTTTGGCAGAATGCCATAGCATCACAGCTCACCTCAAACTCCCAGGCTTAAGCAATTCACTAGCCTTAGCCTCCCAAGTAGGCACCCACCACAATGTCCAGCTATTTTTAGAGACGAGGTCTCACTGTGGCTCAGGCTGGTCTTGAACTCATCAGGCAATTCACTACTTCATCCTCCTATAGTAGTAGGATTATAGGCATGAGCCACTGTAACCCAGTCTCCTGTATAAATTTTAGAGCTAGCTTGTCAGTATCTATTAACAAGCTGCTGGGATTTTGATTGGGATTATGTTGAATTTATAAATCAATTTGGGGAGAATTGACTTATTTTCCGAATTAGTTTGGTATTACTTTTTCCTTATTCATTGATAGAATTCACCAGTGATGGGTATTATATGGGGTTGGGAATTTCTTTATGGAAACGTTTTAAAATACAAAGTCAATTTCTTTTAATAGATAGAAGGCTAGTCAGGTTTTCTGTTTCTTCTTGTATCAGTTGTCATAATTTGTGTCTTTCAGTGATTTCTTTTGTTTTAGTTTCATCTAAGTCAGTATTACTTTCAGCCTTTTTTATGGTTATTTCCCTAAGGTGACTTTTTAGATTTCTTTCCCCCCTAGCCACTGCCATCTTTGTGATATTTTAATACCACGGATACATTATATGTCCTGTTTATATACTGATTGTATATCTATATTTTAATACATAAAGAGAGTAAGATTTTTTTGCCTAACAAGAAACAGTTCTTGTCCTGTTAGGTATGGTGTGACCCTTCTTGAGAATGTGTGATCTAAATTGTCAAATTCATTGGTATAAAATCATTTGTGGGGCAGCACCTGTGGTTCAGTCGGTAGGGCACTGGCCCCATATATTGAGGGTGAACCTGGCCCTGGCCAAACTGCAATAAAAAATAGCTGGGTGTTGGGGTGGGTGCCTGTAGTCCCAGCTACTTGGAAGGCTGAGGCAAGAGAATTGCCTAAGCCCAGGAGTTGGAGGTTGCTGTGAGCTGTGACGTTACGGCACTTTACCAAGGGCGATAAAGCGAGACTCT